TGAAAGACAAAAAAAAAATTGTAATGCTATACATAATCAATTTACAAAAATAAAATAAAAAAATGTTAGATTGATAATATTGTTCTGAAAAAAAAAAAGTTAGACCCATGAAGATGATTATTGAAGTGTGAAAGTTTTTGGTGCTATTTTAGCCAGAATAAGTTTTTTAAGGAATTTCTTCCTACACCTCTTCCTCTATTCTCTCTTCCCCCAATATTAATATCTCATGATATCTACTTCCAAAAGGTACAAATGGGTTCTTGCTCATGTTTTCAATTTCACCTCTCGATTTAAGGTATGAGACACGTAATCCATCTAGATAGAAATGTTAATACACTATAAATACAATAAATAAAAAGTAGGGTATTGTTGATTAATTATATATTTATCGTTGTGCACAAATCTCAAATAACTTATGCATTTAAATATTTTCTACTTTTAAAAAAGGGATAGAAGAAGAACATCCTAGTCAAATAAAAATCAATAAACTTGTGTTAAAAATTTACCTTTGTAACTTAAATTCTATATTATCATATTGAAGCGTATTACACTCTTTTAACGTCTTTGTTTCTTTTACTTTGTAATTTTTAGGAAATTTTAGGAGTTGCAGCACCATGCAGTTCAATCCATTCACGTACAGCTGAGAATGCATGTTTTCAATTTCCTTTGAGCTTATAAATTGTGTTAGTGATTAGCAACTGGTCAAACTAGCTTAGTTTAGTTGTTGTTTTAAGTTTTTGGTCTAATTTGTGTTTATTTAGTTCAGATTAGATAAGTAGTTGTCCTACATTTTAAATGATTTAGTTTCATTAGTTTATCACATTGCAATTGTTTGAATTCAGTTTCATTATCTATCTTTTATGCTTTTAAAAATTCTTTTAAAACATATCGTTTTGCATTCAATCTACTCATTACAGACCTATGTTTGGCCTCACCTAAATTGAACCTTATACTACCTTAGTAAAAGGAGAAAACTTAGATTTTATTTGGTCAAATTGTACATCCAAACTTGCTTATAAAATATAAAATTTAAAGCTCACAAAAAAATTAATTCTAAAATAAAAACAAATTAAATTATATCAATAATGCAGTTAAAAATAAATAAACACACAACTATCCACTAACTTAACCATTAACCCAATTTAGTATTTGGATATGTATACTATCATTGACTACAGTGAGATTATAATTGTTACTATCCAATTTGGTTCTGTTTTGGTTGAATTTGTTAATTCAAGTCCTAATATTTTTTTTTTCAATTAGATCTCAGTTTTTGTCAATTTTTTTTATTTGGTCATTATTATAATACTATTTAAATAATTAATAAATAATAAACTATTTATACTATGTGTTAGTTTGTAGTTTTCTTTTTCTTAATTTAAAAAAAGAAATATTCATATATCAATATAATGTTGTGCCATATGGTAACAGTAATGTTAGTATTACTTCCATCACATACATTTTTTTTATATTCAATTTAGTTATATATTTATTGTTTTTGTTCAATTTAGTTTAACTTTTTGTTTTAAATAGGATAGTTTTGTCACTAGACTAAATTTAAGTTTTAAATAAATATTATATTAATATTTTTATTAAAATTCACATATTTATTAAATATTTTTTAATCTATAGTGCTTAAAATTAAAAGAAAAATTTTAAGAGCGAGAATTAATAGCACTGTTTTAACCTTTTAAGAGGTTTAAAATCACATAAAAATATTATTGTATGACACTTTTATTTAACGAGTTATGTAATTTTAAATACTTTATAACTTTTAAGGTTTCAAAATTTTAAATCAATGGTAATTTTATCCTTTAAACTTTTCATTCTAATTTTTTTGTATATAAACCTTCACACAATTCAAAATTAATGGAGAAAGAATATTGTTTTATGGTGTAAGATCGATATTAACAGTCCAACGTCAACTGAGTCATCTGATTGTCCAAAAGTCATCTCGTAGATGGAGATCATCCATTTTATTATCTCAAACTTATATTTATAAATTTTTTATTAACAATAATTTAACTATAATTCAATGAAAAATAATTACACTTTATTTCTAAGTTAATGAACATTAAAATTAATTATTTTGATTATTGACTCAGTAGTCCGACTCTGAATTGTCCAAAGTGGTGACTTGTTTAATTTAAGAGGTATTGGTAATTTTATAATGTGCCTCAATCATCAATTATTAATTATCCAACACAATAATAACGATTGAGAGCATAAATTTCACGTGGAGATGAAGGTGGGTGGTGGAATAACGTTCCCTTTTCCTTTAGCAAAAGAAGAAAATAAATAAAAACAAGAACCATTCATATTTCATCACTAACTTCACTTAACTTCTTCACTTTCTCTTCTCTAAAAAGGAAGGATAATAAGGAAAATGATGTCGTCGCTGTTGAACCCTTCCTTCTCCACTCTCCCAAATCATTCGATTTCAATCCCTAATAATAAAAACCGCTGCGCCTCCACACTAGTTTCATGCACCTCCTCTACATTCGATCCCTCCTCCTCCCACCTCAACACCACCACCAACCACCCCCCTCCTTCGCCTCCGCCGCCAAACATCAAGGACGAGGCGCGCCGCCACCGCGCCGGCGGCGCGCACAAGTTTACGGCGAAGTATGTTCCCTTCAACGCGGGCTTTGACTCGACGGAATCGTACTCGCTCGATGAAGTCGTGTACCGCAGCCGCTCCGGGGGTCTCCTGGACGTGGAGCACGACATGGAGGCGCTGAAGAGATTCGACGGCGCGTACTGGCGGACGCTATTCGACTCGCGCGTGGGGAAGACGACGTGGCCGTACGGGTCCGGTGTGTGGAGCAAGAAGGAGTGGGTTCTGCCGGAAATCGACCCCGATGACATCGTGAGCGCCTTCGAAGGCAACTCGAACCTCTTCTGGGCGGAAAGGTTCGGGAAAGAGTGTGCCGGAATGAACGATTTGTGGGTGAAGCACTGCGGAATCAGCCACACCGGAAGCTTTAAGGATCTCGGCATGACGGTGCTCGTCAGCCAGGTCAACCGTCTACGCAAGATGAACCGTCCGGTGGTCGGCGTGGGCTGCGCCTCCACCGGCGACACCTCGGCCGCGCTCTCGGCGTACTGCGCGATGGCGGGAATCCCCTCCATCGTGTTCCTCCCGGCGAACAAAATCTCGACCGCGCAGCTAATCCAGCCGGTTTCGAACGGCGCTCTGGTGCTGAGCATCGACACCGATTTCGACGGGTGCATGAAGCTGATTCGTGAGATAACCGCGGAATTGCCGATTTATTTGGCGAATTCGTTGAACAGTTTGCGGCTGGAGGGGCAGAAAACTGCTGCGATTGAGATTCTGCAGCAGTTCAACTGGGAGGTTCCGGATTGGGTGATTATTCCCGGGGGCAATCTGGGAAACATTTATGCGTTCTACAAGGGATTCAAGATGTGCAAGGATTTGGGGCTTGTGGAGAAGATTCCGAGGCTTGTATGTGCTCAGGCTGCGAATGCCAACCCTTTGTATTTGTACTACAAGAATGGGTGGAATGACTACAAGGCTGTGAAGGCGAAAACTACTTTTGCTTCTGCGATTCAGATTGGTGACCCTGTTTCTATAGACAGGGCGGTCCATGCTCTGAGGAACTCGGAGGGGATTGTGGAGGAGGCCACGGAGGAGGAGTTAATGGATGCCACGCAGCAGGCTGATACTACTGGAATGTTTACATGTCCGCACACTGGGGTGGCTCTCAGGGCTCTCATCAAGCTCAGGAATAGTGGGGTTATTGGACCCAGAGAGAGGGTTGTGGTGGTCAGCACTGCCCATGGCTTGAAGTTTGCGCAGACTAAGATTGATTATCACACTGGGGCAATTCCTGGAATGGGCCGTTTTGCCAACCCTCCCGTTTCTGTTAAGGCCGATTTTGGCTCTGTCATGGATAAGCTCAAGGACTTCTTGCATGATAAATCCCCCAAGTCTAGCGTCTCTTGACCCACTGCCGCTGCCAAGTAAGTTAAGCTTTCTTTCCGCTTTTCATTTCATCAATCACATCAAATAAATCTTTTCAATTTAAGTTATTCATAGAAGTTTAGCTATTGGGTTTCAGATTTTGTACCATCATATGAATGAATAGTTTCTTTTTTTCTCCTTTCTTTTGTATTTTGCCACTAACAATATCCCCCTCAAAAGCTTAATTCCTTTCCCTCTTTAGCCCACCCACACACACCATCCCATTGCAATACTAATACTGGTATCTTTTTATTTGCAAAAAAACATACTTGATTATTTTACCGTCAAACACGATTACGTCCTTAATGATACATTTGACTAAAAAACGAAATTGAGAGGTCGCGGAAGATTTCATGTTTGCGCTTTTTCTGGCGGCCAACTATTCATTTAAATCTTTTCAAATCGTTTGATTAGTTTGAATTTATAACGGTTTTTACTTGTTTGTTTATAAAAAATGGCGATTATCCGTGACTAATTTTGTATGATTACGCAAACAACGTACAACTTCTCTACGTGACGATCACCAGGACATTTGAACCCATACGGCTTTACAACCACTACCAAACCAAATAAGCATTGTTCCTCCATCATAATTGTACCCAATAAGTAATGCTACATATAAATAATCTGCTTCTGGCTCACAATTTTGCAGTCTCTAAGGGTAGAAGTTGGTAAAAAGAAAAGGAAAACCACGTAACTTTTGAGAATTTCTTTAACTTTCTCTCTTCCGATTGCTGAATTCAAACAATTCTAGTCAATCATTAATTTGCTTTCGTCCAGATAAAAATGAATTTTATTTTATTGTCACGATAAATTAATCCCTAACTTAAAGAAACAACCTATATCCTTTGTTCGTCTAGGAATATCGAAGTTTAACTAAAATAAAAAGTCTTGGACCACATGACTTTGCAGACTGTTTTTTTTTTCAAGATTAATTAGGTCAGAAGACGCAGGATCACATCTATTTTTGCTTGTTATCGAAAAGCAACAAAAATTAAGACGGGAAACAAAAAGATGAATAAAGGATACAGCATGTAGAAGCATGCATTTCCTTGAATTGAAAATGAAGTTGTCGGCAAAGCAATAACGAGATGATAAGCTTAAAGAGTACAACTAGAGGGCGCAATGTCTAAATCAAGAATAATCATAAAGTGAAATGGTCTTGTCATCAGATACACTAGCAAGACGAGCACCTCGCGCATCAGTCCCTCCAGGTGGTCTAAAAGCCACTCCCCATACCTGGTCTGTATGGTTGCTCATTGTCTGCACAGATGCCCTCATGCTAAGATCCCATAGCCTTACCGATCTATCACTTGAACCTGAGGCAATGGCCGCCCCATCTGGGCTCACATCCACACAAAGTACCCAACTAGCGTGACCTGACATGGTCCCAACTAAAGCTTTCCCCTCAGCATCATACATGTGGATGTTACCATCGTCCGATGCTGTAAACAGTACCCTTGGATCATAAGGAGAATAAACAAGAGACCGCACGGCCATGAAGTGACCTTCAAGGTGATGTAAAAATTTGGCACGTGGAACATCAAAAACAGAAATGGTGCCATCCATCGAACCACAAGCAAGTCGTTTCCCATCAGGACTCCATGCAACTGACAGCACAAATTTCTTGCTACCACTCTTGTCTGTGGGCTTGGGTCCTTCTGGACGGGGAATTGATAATGTGGCAACAAGTTCCCATGTTGAAGTGTCCCAAAGCTTGACTGATGCACTACCCCCACCAGCAACTGCTAGAATAGAACCCTGAAGGTACGAAACAATGGATGATCAAATAATTATTCTCTGGTAAAAAGGATAAGTTTTAAGACTTGGGATGAAATGCCCATTTTTGTTAGTAACATATCACTTGGCAATGGTGGAATGATTACAATTTCCATAGAAGGGGAAGGTAAATACTACAGTGAATCAACAGAACAAGGCACAGATAATCTTAGTAGTTTGAAGCGTATAAATTGGGGAGTTTAACAAGTCCCTTCATGCAATACTGAATATTTGGGGATTGGGATTTCATGCTTGTAATAATTTCATACATTCTTTAAGAATGTTGACCAAAAATAGTGGATTATTTTTCTCATAAATGTTCACATAAAAATGATCCTGGAGGTTTTCACCTCATTTTAACTTTAACAGCTAACAAATGACCCCAGGTATACGGTATCCTTCGAAAAAACATTTACCGTGACTGCAGAATCAAACATATGCAAACTCCAAAATAGTGAAGATCCTCCATACGACAAAAAAACTTCGTAACATTGAACATGGTAGTAGTCTTATACAGAAAAAAAAGAAGCATGAGAGCTGAAGATATAATTATATATTACTACAGACACCTGCAGTTAGTACAATTATAAGTTAACAAATAAAATCATGTCAAGCAGAAATTAAGTATGCAAAAATTGCCAAAAACTGTCCCAGCTATTCCTACCACATGGGTAGAGAATCTTAACTTCTTATACTATATGAATCGTGTATCATATGATACTGATGGCAGCTATGACAAGAAAAGGACAAAAGACAATAGAGCAAAAAACCCATTTTGAAATAAAACCAATATAACATGCAGAGTTTTCATTGAAAGTGAATTTTTTCTACTTTGGCTAGCAACTTTTCATATTATAATCGCGTAAATTTCTTTGTACCAAGAAAAATTAATGAAACATGCATTCACACAAGGGAAGTTTGTATTTGTTTTGGGCCCATTCCCACAAAATATATTAAAAAGTGGCAGGGTAAGATGGAAACCTTCTCTCCAAAAAACTGTCATTTTCAGTATACATCTCTGTGAACTAGATAGCTCTTATGCAAGACAAATTAACATAACAGAAGCAATTTCCACTTGTTTTAGACTCACTAATCCCATTCTTACAGTTTTGTCGTTTATGGTATAAATTTTGCACTAAATAGCTCTTGCTCAAGGAAAAGTAATAAACACGGGCAGTTTCTACTTGTTTTAGACTTGTAAGCCCATTCCAACAATATCTTAAAGAGGTGGCTGAGTAAGAAATAAAACCCTGAAGAAAACTAGATTCATTTGCATAACAAAGTCTTGATTAAGAAACAGTCCACCACTTTTTCATAAGCTACAACAATCATCATTAAGAAACATGTATAAGTCAATACGAGAATTATCTAGAATGTCAATACTTCGAGCCCTGGCCTAACATACGGATTTTTCTTACTTAGGGTTCACGAAGCACGTCGAATCAGAATTAAAACAACGATTAATCACAAACATTCCCAGTTCTCCACGAAAATTTAACCTCAGAACTAATCAAGAGTCTTCATAAAAGACAAGCCAGCATGGCATTTTCACACACAAGTTCCCTTTTTGGTTGATAAATTTCAGTGTATTAGGTTAAGGGCAACGAACAAGACAAGAGCTAGTTTGAGACAATTGCATAAGGTAAAGAGAGGAAAAAGGCTATACCTTGGGATCGAAACGCATTTGCCAGACTTCGGAGGGAGGGGCCTCGAGGGTGGCGACGGTAGCATTGGAATCGACATCGAAGACGCGGACGAAGCTGTCGAGGGAAGATGAGGCGGCGAGGGAGCCTAGAGGGTGGGCAGCGACGGAGGCGACGCCAAGGCAGTGGCCGGTGTTGGTGCGGTCCAAAAGGAGGTCGTCGGAGCGCCAGAGCCTGACGGTCTCGTCGAGGGAACCGGTTAGGAGGAGCGGTGGGCGGTTGGCGGTTGCGGGTACCCATGTGACCGCCCAGACGGAATCATCGTGCGCGTTCTCCACCGATTTGATTCCACCAAGCTTCATCCTTATTTTCTTCGAAACTGAACTGAACTCAGTTCTACTCTCTGCTCCGATACTCTCTATTACGCCTATGCTATGCTCTTTTCTCACTCCATGTCGGCTATGGACTTTTCTTCAACTCTGATTGACTCTCATGGGCCTACACTCGTAGGTCCTAGGCCCAATTTCATTACCTTCATTGATTACTGCTTAATAGGACTAACATACATTGACATTTTAGCTCACCACTTTTTTATTCATTAAAATTATTCATTTTATAAATAAGATTGAGAAAAATTAATTATTTTCGATAAATTTAGAGAAAAAATTATACCCTAATTGAGTTTTGGTTTAGTTACATTTACTATTCATATTTACAATCGTCCGACCATGTGTTATTTATGGCTTTAGACTATAACTTTACGAGTTAGTGTATGATATTTGATAATGAAGGATAATTGTTTAGTTTTATATGAGTTGCACTATTAAATTTAATTTAATAATTTAGTTTTTATATTTAAATTTTTAATCATTTTGATCTTTATATTTTTCTTTCTTTTTCGGAGTTAACGTCCATTCCTAAATAATCACATATTAATTTAATAAAAAATTTAATTAATAAGTTAGGTTTTATATTTTTCTTCATACTCAATTAAAGTCCTATAAATTTTACATGGGTAAAATAAAGTCTTCTTTTTGTAAAATTAATAAGAATTTACAATTAAGTTTATGTGTCTATCTTGGATAGTGTAACATACAAAAAATGAAAGTCTTGGAATTACGATATGAATGAATCCATCTTAATAGGATTATGTGGTTAAAAAAATTTTAATTGAATAAAAAAATATAAAGACAAAAATTAATTTTATATCTAAATATAAAACCAAAATACTAATTAAGTTTTTTTAATTAATTTGATATACGATTGTCTTCAAAAAATAATATTAATATCAATTTAATAAAAAATAACACATTGATTTTATTCAACAAATATTGAGATTCAATAACAACTATACTCGTTAATTTATTTTTAATTTATTTTAAATCTATTAAATAAATAGTCATAAATATTTATATATTTTTTCATTTATATATTTCATTAAATTTTAATATCAATTATTGATAACAATATCAAAATTAAACAAATCCAAGTAATACTATTTATACTAAAATGTTTTTATTTTACTTTTTAAATTATTTTTATTTCATTCCTTATTTAAAAATAATAAAACTAAATATAAGTATAATGTTATTTTATTTTTTGTATTTATTGTTTTTAAACTCTTATTTTTAAATTTTATCAATAAAGGAGTAAGATTTAATTTAATTTTCGAAAAACTAGCTTTTGATTGATCTTCCATTGGTGATCGTGAACAGTAAACGAGTTTGGTAAATGAAGTTGGCTTGAATTTGTTTTTGAATTTTTTTAAAGGCCTTGATTGAGAAAAAAAATTATAAATAAGATAATTATGGTTAAGATTTTTTTTTTCCAAAATTCACATTTTTTTTCCAGGTGAATAAAATAAGAAAGATAAATTATTTGAAGGTATGAGAGAAAAAGGATATACTGGAGCGAAACGGAAAACCCTAGCCTGTTCTTAAACCCAAAAGTTGTAAAAGAGAACCAACATCCTCGCTTGGTCCTGGTACCGACGCAAAGCAACATACAAGTTAAATCACAAACATGGTTTGGTTTCAATGCGAAGATTGTGGAGACAACCTCAAAAAACCCAAGTTGTCGAGTCACTTTCGGACTTGCTCCGCTTACAAAGTTCTCATTCAATCCCATTTTTCATCAATTCCCGTCACAATCTTTTGAATTTGTAATGCTCATTTTTTTTCCTGTTATGCAGTTGTCGTGCATTGACTGTGGGGAAATATTTGGGCGTGACACCGTTCAGGATCACACACAGTGCATTACAGAAGCTGTGAGTCTCTCATTTATTTTCACTTTCCTGTCAATGGATCTTCCCCCGTCTCGTTTTTGTTCGATGCGTTTGTGTGCGTAGTTTTTTTTTTCAATCAATAAACGTTTTTTTTTTCTTGTTTAACTTCACCACTTTAGTGCTGGGGATTTTTGGTTGATTTGATCTCGCTAGAGGAGCTTCTTGAAAGTTTCCTCACTGACGATTTTCAATATTTCTCTCTATTGTTGTTGTCTTGAAATTCAGAATTTTAATCTGAAGTGGGGGGCACGTTTTAGAGGATAGTGTGCATTTATGCAGTTTCCTTACTTTAGAGGAGTCAAATTTTTATTCATGTTGTTTGGATTTTTTGGTAGCATATGGATTTTCATCAAGTCTGTGAAATGTATGTCTTATTTTCTCTACACCTTCCACTTTTACTTTGATTTCCAGGAAAAGTATGGTCCAAAAGGCCAAGGCAAAACTCTGAGTGCTGCAACTGCCACGCCTAACAAGGATAACAAACAGAGGCCTGAAGTTGATATTAATGTGGGTTTATCTGAGCGGCCTCCTTGGTTCTGTAGGTATGTATTCTAATGGGTTCCCAGTATCATGGTTGTGGCCAGTGTGTTTACATTGCAGAATCAATGCCAATCAAGATGCTGCATTGTATTTTTTAAGAAGTTTTGAGATTTAGACTTCTATGTTCTTACTCAATGCATTTGAGTTTCTGTACCATGTCTTACGGGTTTCCTGGATCATAAAGGTTGTAGTTTATCTTTTGTGGTCTTTATGTAGTGTAAATAATGTGTGTAAAAGGGCACGGAGTTGAATGTGGATTACATGCGTTTTTTTACAGAAGTATGCATAACTTAATTAAAAGAAAAATTCAAATATGAGCTAATTCCTAATTATAAAACATATCAAATGGGGTTATTTGTTAAAAATCGTAATACCTCCATATCCTACTTACAAGATATTGCAGCTATACTCTGTGGTTACGGGAAGGATTGAGTTTTAAAATACATGCAGACAATTTTGTGGGTAATTATCCATATCATATCTGAACACAGAACTATTTGGTGAGTAAAATATCATATCTATTGTGGTTAATGCTTGTGGATACCCATGGGTCTGGAGTCCTATTGTCATCCTTATGCAAGAGGGAGAGGTTTAGTGTATAAGTTTAATGTAGGATGGTAATCCTATCTAATAAGATATATTCAGCTGACTAATGATATTATTAGTGTTGATTGACTTCTACCCTGCAAAGCAAGTCTGTGTTGGTGTCAATCTTTGTGAAAATGTATGCTAGTAAAATTCAGAACATCTTTGTTCTTTTAGTTGGTGTTGCTTACTTCATGTGAGTATGGTGCACTGCCTGCGCAGTGTTCACTCCCCCTTCCCTTCTGTTAAACGTGTATGTTAGAATCCTATAGATATAATAATTGATGATATTAGGATCAATTATATAGATTCTATATTTATGTTATTAGCTTAAAATAGGGTAATTGAATATTTAGTAATTATGTTCTGTCCTCTATAGATTGAATAGCTTTGCTGTGGTCTAAGTAAACACTGAATTCATCATATGCTTTATCGTTTTGTCTTCTCTCAACAATGTAGATTGTGAACTTATTAAAAATAGAGTCAACTGCCAAAAGTGGCTAATTATCTGAGGGTCTGAGACACTCTTTGAAAAAGTGTGTTATAGTAATGAGTTGTGCCTGGTATTATGTCCATAATCTTCACCAAGAAAGAATTTTTCTTATATTCTCTGTCATCTGTATGGTTATCTCATATTATGCTCTACTATTTGTGACTCTGCAGTCTTTGCAATACAACAACTACAAGTAAGCAAACACTTCTTCTCCATGCTGACGGAAAGAAGCACAGGGCAAAGGCGAGAGCATTCCATGCTTCAAAGCAGCAACCAATCCAGGCAGATAAATCTGCTACCGATGATGCTAAGACTGTTGTGGAGACTGGTCCTAATGACAAGGTGAGAGATGACAGTAATGTAGAGGTGCCAAAATTGAAGGAGTCTTCTACACAAAATGACTCCAAACAAGGGAATGAAACTTCTTCAGCAAAGAAAAAGAGGAAACTTGAAGCATTGGGGGATGGGAAATCTGTTGACCTTGTTAAAAAAAACAGGAATGACACTTCGGTTGACATGGGAAATGGAGAAGTAATTCAGGGTGAAAAAGCAACAGGAGAGAGCAATTTGAAGAAAGAAGGGATGTTAGAACCTTGCTGTACAATTGCTGTCAAAAATAAAATAAAATGGAAGAAATTTATCAAATCAGCCTTGAAATCAGTACGTGTTTTGAATCTCAGACTGGCATCCTTTCTTGTTTTTGTGCTTGATTTAGGACGGATTTATTTAGACTTGCTATGACATTACCATCTACAACGATCTTGCTCTAAATTTGGATTCTTGAATGTTGGTCTATACGTCTAATTTCATTGTGCACTTAAATGTGAATGGTTATTTTTATGTTTGTTACAGCATCCTGATGGAATTTTGAAGATGAAGAAACTTAGAAAAGTTGTTCTCAAAGCACTGCAAGAATCTGGCATTGCAGTGGATGAAGCTGAATTGAGCAAGGCGCTTGAGCAGAAGGTAAGCCATTATAATTGATTGTGTTTTTTTTTTTTTTTAACTAATCCTTTAAAAGCAATAATTATTGGTTTTCTTATGAAAAATTTGTGTGGACAGATCAATTCCAGCTCCAGATTTACAGTCGAGAACAAGTACGTGCGATTGGTGGCTAAAAACTGACCGATCCAGTTAGGGTTCTTATGACTAGGAGTCCTGCAATTTTTCCTAATTGTCTTGCTGCTTGGTAGACATTCATTCATGAAAAGATCCATATAGAAAAATTTTGGGAACGAATACATTGTTGTTGCTTTATGCAAATATTCAATTATTATTTTGTCTAAAATCCAAAAGAAGGGCTGAGAGATTTTTTTGGTTTGTTGAATTACAAGCAATTAATTGTAGAATCTGGAGAACGTAGTCTTATATATATATATATATATATATATATATATATATATATATATATATATATATATATATATATATATATATATATATTCTCCTGTAAGAACTCTTTTAAGACGGATTTAATAGTCAAGTCTTACTTTTCATTATGTACTCTTTAATTGAAGGAAGCAAGTTTCAT